AAAAACATCAATTGCCCCCCTTACAGATTCTTGTCTTTTCTAAAGTCATTTGCTGAAATGTGAACTTCCCTCTGGGGTTAATAAAGTACATTCATTCATTTTCAAATTACTGTATGATTTCATTCAAACAACTTCAATTTGCTGTTCGTCCATAAAAGCCCCCCAATGTTGGGGAATAAAACATTTCGTGTTAAAGTCTCACTGCCAAGTCTTCATCCCCAAAACAACCAGTGCATCCTTAGATTTTAATTAGGTGGATTAGAGTAAAGTGGGCTAAAAACAAATGCAAAGTGCACTTTTCTGATTTTAATTTGGATATATTTAAACTATTTTGCTTTTCTTTAATAGTGTGGTAAAGCAGAAATCACTGTCACTTCAGCACATGAGTCTTTCTCCTAGCTTTGATGCATTCAAAGATCAATGAATGTAGGACTGACTACCATTTAGCCTACCTATCTGATCTGTGCACTGGAAATTTGAAATTTATTCTTGTTTAATGTGATGTAAAAGTGGCCATTCAGCCTGTCAGCAAAACAGCCATCATTTATCTAAATATCAAAACTAAAATGGGACCATAACCCAACTTGCCCCTTAACGACCGTTTCTGTTTCCCAAAAAACACCCAAGTCACTAAAAAGTAATGAGCTCGCATGACACAGTCATGAATCATAAACTCCAGAGCAGATGGTCCGAGGTGAGCTTCAGCCTGTTGGTGTGCAGGCTGCAGACACCCACACCAGGGAGCAGCTCTGATGCTGCATCATTAACATGACTACCACACCAACCCATTCACCTGTCACACACTGCTTCTCCTTCACAGTCTGCTGAAGTGCACAAAATGCAGATTTTACTGAATGCTCCACAGAGAGAGAAAAACGGTTTAAAGCAAAAGAACGAAGAGAATAAAGCAAATTACACTGAGACAGGTCACTGTTTGAAAGAATAGAGCTTCCAGACCTGAAAGAGATTTGACGACCTGTAAAAGTTTAGTTTTAAAACCACTTTAAATATGGCACAGATGTTGCAAAGACAACAAGTTCAACCTTTCTGTTTCTGTGACCCTTTCCAGACTGTTAGAGGTCAATGGTTTTATGTCTGATCCTCTATGGAATATTTCCTATTATTGTTGAGTCATAGTGTGCTGATTTATGAGATCTTTCAGCCTATAATGAAATCTTTTAATGTATTGACATTCATTACTTCTGCAACGCATTTGTCAACTCTACACTGATAATGAGCTCTAAAAAAAGTGTGATAGTACCCTCTTGTGGTCAGTATGCACACTTAAATTAACACTGAGGTTTAGTTCAAGCGTGTTTAAAGAAGTTCAACTGATTTTTTTTCAGTCTATACCATAGTGTCTTATTTTTATTCTCTAAAAATGTAATTTTTGTAAAGCACATGTTTCTTAAGAAGAAAAGAAAGTTGGATCAAGAACCAAAGGAAACAGAATTTTCCATTACTTCAGTATTGTAATGCAAGTCCTCCATGAATAATCCTCATTCTGGATGTAGCAGCTAGTACTATAATTACATGTTAATCCGGGTGAGAAAACTTTTGAATTTGAAGATCAATTATACTCGTTTGCCAAACTGGTGAAGGTGATTGGTCCAAAACACAAGCAGTTTATGAAAAGGAATAAAAAATTTAAAAAAAAGAAAAGAACTACAGTATACACATCGGAGACCATTACTTAGCCAGGCTAAACCAGGAGCTGATGCCTGCATTCAAAGTTTCCCTTGACACACTGATAGATCAGGTCTGTTTAGTGGAGAAAGACCACAATCACTTAAAATAGAGGAGGAAGAAGTGTCAAAAGCCATACACAGAACAACTTTAATTTCCCTGTTATCAGTAAAAAGAGCTAACTGTCAAAGAGGCCTAGAAAAGGAAAAATTCTAACCAGGTTAACAAACAAACTACAATTTTGTTTGTATCCGGGAATCATGAATCAAAGGCTCAATAAAAGGAGGTACATTGAAGAGATTAGAAAAAACAAGGACTCTGTTCTTTGCTTGCTCCTTCATTGCCTTAACCAGTTGACCAAACTACTGAGAGTAAGAACAGGTCCCTATGTGATGTGGCAATGTGAGCATGTACAAGACACCAGCTGACTGTAAAAGCAGGTTGAAGGTAAGCAGAGGTTGATTTAAACAGAACCAGAAGTTCTGCTGTGTATAAAGTCCTAATGGATAAAAACATTAGAGTTTGGCTGAAAGACATGTGTTGGAGCACTGTGCTAACTCTTTGGATCTTTCTGATTCTTTTGGGCCGAGATGCAATCTGGAGCCGTCCAGCACAACCACAGTTTCTATTTCTGGTTGAGAACTCACTGAACCCACTCCCCTGACTGGAACTGTTCTGTTTCAGTGCAGAGATACAAAACAACGCTTTCAGTTTAGGGCAGAAATACTCATACCTCTGGAAAATAATGGACTATAACCTTTCAATTCTAACAACACTTGTGTTGTGTTGTTATGTAGCGGCCCAGTCAGAGTCCCAACTTCAACCTGATGGATTTTCTGTGGAGCAAGCAAAAAATTATGATGCTTCATATTTATTTTTCTTTCACTGATTATTGTGAAGGGTTTAATAATTTTGGCCACATCTTTTTTTTTAAGTGGCATAAAAAGTAGTTTTTTTTATTTTATTTTATTTTATTTTTTTCTAAATTAAGAGTCCCACACTGTTTTACTCAGATCTGACTCAGGTCTGAGCAGAAACAATCTTTTTGATTAAAAAAAGTAAAAAAACAATATTTTGAATTGCAAAACTAAATCTGCCTTGGATGAAAATAATTTTGGGTTAACTGTATTTGAATAAAAAATAATTCAGTACAAAGAGCAGGCCTACTCATAATTTATACACATTTTATAAAAAGGCAGAAAGCAGACCAAATAACTCCATAATTCATAACTCTAGTCTGGTGTTGGCCAGGACTGGTGGAGAAAAGCTGAGCTTCCTCTGGGAGTTCATATGAATCCAAGACAAATAGGTGGAAACACAGGAGCTCAAATCCCAAAATTCACAGCTGTTTTATGGAAAAACTGCAACTAAAAAGCAGTTTTGCTTATGCACGTCATGGGTTGTTTTTAGTCAATGGATTATGGAGCCCAATGAACCATGGGCTCCATAATTTTGACCACACTGACCAAACAGAAACATGTGTGTTTAAACAAAATGTTTAAACACTTATTAGGCTCACACTGTACCTTCAGGAGTTATGGACGCACAGCAAACAAGGATTACAGCTCACCGTGCTGAAGAAATGACGTTTGTTTAGTAGCAATTGTCTGACTGGTCTCTGCTCTAGTCCACACTGTGCTGTTGCATCCAGTCAGTTCTGTAACAGCAAACATGCAAACCAAATAAAACTGCAGATTTAGATAAAAACAAGGAAGAAAAAGTTCTCCAATTAAGGGAATGCAAATTGAGGATTGTATGCAAAGAATGGGAACTGAAAACTCACCATTTATTTTAAGAATCAGAGTGTGAGCACAGAAGCTTAAAATGAGTGGTCCAATAAGTGATCAAGTGCTACAAGTTTGGAATAAATGCTTCATAGTGGTGATGTAATTTGGAAAAACTATTTAATGTCTTTTCCTGCCACAAACCAGCATGATTCAGATCCTGTATCTGAATGACTAAACCACATACAGCTCAGCAAGACTGGTAGAGTGGTCAGTCTTTCCTCTGCCTAAATCCTCCAGAATTCTGTGTGGTTCTGGATAGTAGTTCAGTGAATATTCATTTTCTTTAACCCAAAGCTTATATTTTAGGCCTTAGGAGTTTGGGGTATGTTGAAGTTTTTTTTGTTTTTGTTTTATTATTCTATAACTAAATGGGATTTTCCCAATGAATAGAGAGAAACATCACAAATGTGAAAAATCCACCACTGCAGAAGTGGAAAGCATTTTTACAAATTATACTTACATTAACACTATAAAAACACCAACAGTTTCCAATGTTTAAGATTAATAACACAGGGTCATGCAGCAATTTATACATATAAAAAACAGAGCTAGTCTAAACTTGTTTGCTGTTGTTGGTTAACAACTTCTGTTGTGATGGTAATTTTGGCTTCACATCTTCAGAAAATCTAATTAAAATCTGTTAAACTGAAAACTACTGAAGCCAAATGATTGAAACAAAGTAGGGTTTGATTTCCACAAAATGTCCCTCCTATAAATTGCTTATTTCAATTAATAAGAAATTGCTTATTTCTTTTAGAAATAAGAAATTTGCAGGAGGGACATGTTACAATAAAACTAGAATTTACTGTGCCTAAAAGAATTTCACTAAAAGTGAAATTCCCTCACCAGAATGATGTTAGGCCAGGGTTGACATGGGTGTAAAATAGGTTTAAGACGGAAAGAAATGGCTGCATTTAGGAAGGAAATGGTGGAACATTTGATTAATCCATTTGAAATAAAATACACAATATGCCTAATTGTATATTGAACAAACCTAGGTTTTACATTTATGAGTTGACATTTTGTTATAAAGAACAGTGGCACATAATTGTGTGTGCAGCCTACTTTCATTTTAGACTGATGAATGGAAAACTGCACAGCTGGAAGCCCAAAAAGTGAAACTCTAGAAATAAACTTTCTTTGACAGACTTCCCCTTTAACAATCTTTTCCTCAGCCAATTTATAAATCCAAATGCTAAAGGAATTTTTTTTGGAGTGCCTCAGGAGTTCCAGCAACAATTGGCTTAATGGGGACCCAGTCAGCAAACAGACGCTTTGGCCATGTTTTTTCAGACTGGGGGTCCAAGTTAGCAGTTATACAAGCTCTCCCACTGATGGCAACTGAGTAGCAAGAACAAATCCAGCATCTTCTTTGCAATCCAGCAATAATTAAGACACTTTTTGGTTTTAGACCCAATGTGGTACTCAAACGCAAACCTCATGTTTCTGTGCAAGAAGATCGAAGGACGTAAGCTTCAAGGTTTGAGCAGCAAAAGGAAGAATCATCAGCTTTCAACTGCAACAAGATCCATTTTCATTTTTCTTTAATTAAATATCCTTTTAATAAAGTAAAGCAAAAAAGTATTTACACATTTTCAATTAAACTGTAATCAATGGGTTGGATAATTACAAGCACCTTCTGCCGGCTGAGGAGAGAAAAATATAAATACATGGAAAAACTGAAGCTTCATTTCAGAGGAGAGGGGTTACATTAGCATCTTTTCTTTGAAAAAACAGGAAAAACTAGCCATCTTGTATTTACAGAGCTCTTCTGAAATTCCATTCATGGAAGCAACAAAAGGCCTTAGAATTTGCAGGTAAACTTTTTTTTTTCTTAAAAGTCCTATCTCAAAGTGATTTTGTGTTCTCTGTAAGCTTTATTCAAGTTTTATCTGATATTTCTCTTTTTAAAATCCGATGACAAGCTCTGGAGGGGATTGCAGCTGCAAACCAGCTCTTTCTCAGTCCATAGTTTTGTTTCTGAAGCGAAGGAAAGGAGCCAGGCGGCTGCATCAGCAGGTTGGGATGCAGGTTCAGCGGGTTGTTGCAAGAAGCATTGTCATCCTCCCGCCACCAGAGGCGCAATAGAGTCCATCAAATCTTTCCTCAATGATACTGTCCCGTGAAAAGCCTAATGTTCAGAACCGTCGCTTGTGTCTGAAATGTGCCAGACGTTCCTCGCCGCTTCTCTTTGTAGTTTTGTTATTTTATTATAAAAAAAAAGAAACACTCGATTCACTCAGCCAACACTGGAAATAACAAAAAGCTACTCAACTACGTAAGCCCACCATGCAGATCGGACGCACTCAGTGGCTGCGGCCGGCCTACATGATAAAAGATGAATTCATCAAAAATATAAATGGGATCAACATTTTGCTTTTCTCTTTAAACGCTTATTAGGCAAATACGATTTGAATAGTGTTGCTGTGTTGAGGAAAAAGCCATTCGCAAACAAGCTCAAACATCACTGCAGCATCTTCAACAGCTTGTAACAAGCATCTCTTATATATCCTCTCTATTTAATCCTGTAGTTTTCTTATCAGAAAAAAAGACATTCTGTGGCTGGGGTAATTACAAGAAACCCCAAAAAGAAAAAAGAAAAAAGAAAAAAAAGAAGAAAATAAAATGACCGAATGTTCGATCCATAATACAATCTCTCCCATTTGAAGAATTTTTTTCTCTTTTTTTCAGTTTATGCAGAAGGTTTTGCCCCATCAGGCGCTTCTGAATCGTCCACGAAACATTCCCCACCCTTCCAAGGAGCCTTCAGGTTCCCTGGAGCATTCTTAGCTGTTATCGGATTCGTCCTCCGCTTCCCGGAGCCACGTGAAGAAGGCAGTGACGGACTTGAGGGCCACTCCCTTGCCCTGCTGCTCAGCGGTGTCTTTGCTCGACTCCCACTTGTAGAAGGCTTCTTCTTTGATCACGTCCTCGTCGTAAAGGGTGTCGAAGAACATCCGAAGCAAATCTGATGGGAGGGTAGACATAAGAAGTGGTCAGAAGCAAAAGTGTTGGAAATTTAACTTTACATTTAGAACTGGGAACAAATTTTGGATGCAAAAACATTCAAGGTCTTGAACTTTTTAGTATTTAGTCAGAGGACAACCACAAATTTTATGTGAAGTCAAGTCATATATTAATGACGTAGAAGTAAAGAAATATAAATCAAGAATCACAAAACTGGTTAATTCTTGATAAGTTGCAGAAATTCGCAGCTCAGCTGACAAGGAAGATTAGGCATTTACTCCACAAATCTGGTAAAAAGGAAAATGCTTATCCTGACTGAAAGGTGGTGTTAGTGTCATGCCTCGAAGGCAGAGTTGACGCGAAAACCTGAAACCACTGAAGAATCTATGACACTTGACCTGTTTTGCAAATGATAGGCATCCAAGTTTTGACTCAGGGTGATACAAAATACAAAGTTTCGTCACCCATTTTAGATTTTTATTTGTGAAAAAAATAAGGATATTTTCCATTCCACTCTACAATTTTGCACAATTTTATAAATCTACTGAGATTTGTGGCTGTAATGAGACGCAATGTTGAAAAATTAAAGGCGTGGGAATACTTTTGTAAGAAGAAGCGGCAATGCAAGATAATTTGATAAGCTTACTGGCAGGCTGCTCCATCTGCACCATCAGAGCCTGCAGGCCGTAGAGAGCCTGCAGCTCCCTCTGCTCGTCCTTCAGGTACCTCTGCAGCAGCTTGGCCCTCTGCTTGATGACTTCACCGTCCACTTTGTATGGGTTCTCACCTGAAGGGGAAACAAGCTCAAGGGTTGGCTTTGTGGAAATTTAAACTCATTGGCTTGTTTAGAATAGGTCGATACTCACAGATAATGGCTGACTGACAGACGCATGTCATCAGTGTCCGGACAAACATGCTAGACGACATTTGTTGCTCATCTAGATTGACCTAAAATGAGAAATAAATATTCATCCACAGATGAACCAAAGTGGTATAAATGTCTGCATATTTTGATAAAATAACTGCTGACTTAAAATAAAGAAACATGTTCAAAAAACTAAAGTGGAAAATGAATATTTTGGTGGCCCTTCAGGATCAGGGCTCTTTTCTCTACAGCATATTAAAACATAGCAGCATTTACACAAATATCTTCAAAAACAAGCCAGAGAAGACTAGAACTGAAATCAAGATGATGCTGGACACAAACCTCAATCCAGTCAAAGATCCTCTCATTGTCCGCCTTGTCGTGAAGCAGTCTGTCCAGCTGCTTGGTCAGCTCTGCTGAGCTCATCTCCTTCCTGCTCTTCTCTGATTCTTCGCCCAGAGTGAACTCAACGTTCTGCAGAAAAAGGAACGTTATGGTCAGCATGTCAGGGTTACAGAGGAGTTCGCTTCACGACTCCAGTAGATCGCAGTGGAAACGCTGCGAGCTGAAATCACAAACAGTCACATAAAATGGTGGAGTTTATTAATCAATGTTTACTATGATTAATTATAGTAAAGGAGCATGAAGTTAAGAGCAAAGACATACACAGATGTAACCAATTATCTATTTATATAACCTGATAAGCTCCTCAGATCTACATTATTCAGTAACTTTATTATTGAAACAGTGAACAACAAAGCTGTTCCAGCAGGGGGGGAAAAAAATTTAAAATCACAAAAGACCAAACAGTTTGTGGCAACATGCGAACAAGGTGCAGCCATTTAGGTTTTTATCAGCTGATACCAATTTTGTCTGAAGTCTGATGATGATGCACTGATCAGACTAACCTTCTCTGTCACAAACTTGTTGACGTCCACATCTTCAGGCAGGAAGTCTGTCCACCGTAGGCCAGCTTCTCTCCACATGGTGCCTGCCTTTTTATGGCTCTGGTGAAATCAAGATGCACGTTTTTTTGAAGTGTAATTAAAAATGTTACCAACACTATTGTTCATAGATATCACATTGACACCAGTTTACGGTGCTCAATCACCCATTTTAGTTTACTTTGACCAGTGTGTGTTTTTAAAGCTCGTACTTCAGAAGGCGTGTATATATAGCTCTTACCATTTCTTTGCAAAGTAAAGTGAGGATGTAGACCAGCAGGACTCCAGCTTTGGCCATTGGGATCAAAGGCTTAGAGATCTCCCTGCAGAGGTCAGAGAACATTAAAAACTTTGTAAAATACAACAAAAAAGTCCCAATAGTTATACAAATAAATAAATAAGAGCGGTTCTTACCTGAACAGTTCGCCCATGGGAATGCCTCCCTCATGCAGCATGGGAGTGATCAGTTCTGCCAGGTAGAGAAAGATGTGGGGGATGTCTATTGCCATGTCTTCAGCAACCTCCAGAATCTCCTGAAACCTGGAGGCATAAAACACATCACATTGAAATATGAGTTTATTTGAGAGGAAAAGGATAAAGCTAAACATTGTAGAACAAGAACGAACTAAGTAAAAGCAAATTTTAACAATCCTGCGTAAATAACTTTAGATTCTGAGAAAATAGTCCAGCTAATGATTTAGTCTGATTACTTGCAGGAACCAGCCTGTGGAAGACCGAAGACAATCCAGTCTTGGGTCTTTCAGTTTTGTGAACATCTGTTTTTCAACTTTTTGAAGCATTCAGCATGACTTGCTGTCATGTTGGGAATTACTGTAATAGTTCAAATGTCAGTGCATCTCTAATCAACAGAGTAAAGCACCATGTTGTGGATGTGAGGTGATCCTTTACATCTGTTTTGACTGCAAATTTTAAAAATCAACCTGCAATAACTTTTACTGGTGAGCTTCTTCATACGGACCCTTTATAGTACTGTTGTGTTGGGAGGATGCCGGTCTTAATTAGCTGGTGCAGCAGCTGGCCCATGTGCTCCCTGGCGATGGTGCTGCGCTCCAGGGTGGACTCCAGTCCGTGCCGTACGAACACAAACAGCAGCTCAGCGCTGTTCATCTCCCGCACACACTGCAGGGCTTCCTGTTGGGACACCCATGCAAAGAGCTGATAAGGACATTTATTTCTCTTTCAGCATTTCTAAAATTTGACAGAAGTATGAATAGATAAAAATGAAGGAATTCAGTTCATAAAACAAAGGTGTGCTGTGTTGAAGTACCTTCATGTCGTTGATGTGGAGGTACTCCTCTATGATGGCTGCTGACTTCTTTTCTATCTCGGCCTCGGTCAGAGCGGGCTTAGCAGGGGTCTGCTGAGGTGGCGGAGTGGCAGCTGCCTGCCGCTTCACTGTTTATGCATAGAACAGATACATAAATAACCAAAATACTGAATATCAACTTCACTGACAGAATATCACAGCTTTGTCTCTCATTCTCCACCACATTGTCACCTTGCTCTTTGCTCCTGGCTCTCTCGCTACTGCTTTGGTCTCGCTCTTCGGTCACGCTCGCCACTCGGCGGACCGGATCAGTTGAGCTGCGTTGCTCTCTATCCCGGCTTCGTTCCTCTTTTTCCCGGCTGAAGCTCCGTTTGGTGACCTGTATGCGGTTTCTATCATCTCTTCGCTCATCCCTTCTGTCGAAGCGATCACCACCTCTATCAGAGCGGTCGCTGCGCTCTCGACTCGAGCTGTTCCTGTCCAGATTACGGTTAGCAAAAAATTTTACAAACCACTCAGTCCTACACAGCCCTTGTTATTGAAGTTTGAACTAAAAACTTGGGTAGCAGAAACTGTTGCTCACCTCTGAGGAACTCTTCTGTCCAACTCTTGTGATGCGGATGAAGGCTGCTGCAATGCAGAAAACCTATTCAGAGTGCTGGTGGCTGGACGGTTTCCAGACTCTGAACCTGGAGATAAAGTGAACATGAGACAAGAATTCACTTTAAACTTGAACATACCTCGGATTATTAGATGCAGATGTCCCCTTTATGATAAACATACCAGAATCTGAAGGTTTGGCACTGGTGCCACCACTGCTGCCCTTCCCCCAGCTGCCCCAGGTGCCCTTACCACCAGGGGCCAGTAGCTGATTGTTGAAGTCAAGAACAGGAGTCTGAAAATAATGGAGCTGATTGTTAAACTATAGTTGTGGAGCGGAATAAACTTTACAGAGCTTAGACTTACCTTAGTGATTTTACTAAGGCGAGAGGTGTCGATCGGTCGGTTCTTTGAGATGGGGACTGTGTTCCAGCCCTCATCCTGAGGCGGAGCTCCCCGGCCTGCGGTGTGAGGACCACCTCGGCCTCCGGAACCTCTTTCTCCCATTCTGCCTCCTGGGCCTCCTCCACCAGACTCCTTCTTGGAGATGAGAGCCTGCTGCACCTTCATGTGCTCCCGGTGTTCCTCCATCTCAGCGTCTTTGTGGATCTCGTCGATGGTCTTAGGGCCTTGGTCTCCTCTCCGGGGTATCCATTTGTTCTAAAAGTACAATACAAAGCATTCATAACTTTAGGACCAAGTTTAAACAACAGAAAAGAAGGCTTTGATGCACCCAAATCAGCTTCTATTTAATTGATTAAATTTGACTAAAGAAATATAGTGAGTGTTTTTAGAGAAAGTGACCCAAATCTTGTTCTTATAAAAAAATTGTTCAATCAAGCCCAAAAGTATTTCAAATTAAATGCCCTTTATTTAATCCAGACATTCTGTCCACAATGAACAACACCCCTCTTCAACAAAAGTCAAAAAAATGTGACTACTTTACTTGTTTAATTTTTATTTGGTCAAGGAGAACTTTTGATTTGTCGATTTTGACCAATGTGACAAAGTTTGGACACTCCTACTATGGAGGTTTTTTATGCTTAAATTACTAAGTTTTCTATTGCTCTTTACTAAAAAAACAACCCATATTACATCTTAACAAGACGGTTTAAATCTTTTTCAGTTTTTATTAGCCCTTCCTATTGCATCCAAAGACTCGATCATTACGATAACTGTTGACCCCACATGCCAGACAATTTCAAACAAACAATGTGACCTCTGTCATATTCAAACCACTGATAATAGTGTCTAATGAGTCTACAGGCATTCCATGTCTGGTACACTTTATTCATTGTTTTGACTGCCAATCAGGTGGTCAGAAGACAATGCTTCACTCATGGTGAAGCACTAAAGCCCTCTGGCGAACTAAATCACATATGCACTGAACTTCTTTTATTTTTTTTTGTCAGTGAGTGTATTTCCGAATGACTGAATAATAACTTACAGGAAACAAAAGCTCATCCACCTAACCCACCAAGGAGATGAAAAATCCAGATTTGAACAACAATTATGGTGAGTCCATATAGATGTGTCAATATAGATTAATCCCATATGAAATTAATCAAAAATGCAAACAGAAAAGATCAGTCTGTTGTCTCAGCCTATGGCACAGAGTAGCTCTGTGTTCGGGAGCTGAGAAAAATATGTCTCTCTCATATGAGACTTGCACAGATCAAGGCTACAAGACCAGTGCATATGTCTGCAGGGCTACATTTAACAACACACACAACACCAAACAATAATTGCATGTTTGACTCGCATGCAATATTTCCTTTCAGAGATGCCCTGCTTTTTATTAATCTAACATCAACCTTCCTGTTTAAACAGAGACAACTTCAGTATGCTCCACAGCAAATGGTCCATCTGGTTGCAGATTGGATGAACGATCACATTCAGGATGCACTGATGGTTTTCTGGCCAATCACTGAAAAGCCTGACTTTCCCATTACAGTTCTGGCCGATACTGATGTTTTTGTCTGAAAAGTAGCTCAATATAGCGACAAAGTCGCTCAGCTGGCAACATTGGGTTGAGCAAAAGGGGACAGTGGTGTATTGTCAGACCTTTGCAGTGATTAAGACCGGTTTCACGGCTTACTGCCCAAAATGAAGGAAATGGGGTCTGATTTATCATCCCTCTTCAACAAAAGTGCACCCCTAATCACAATCCATCATGTTCTGAATCCAGCAGAGTGATTGTGTTATGATTTCCAAAACTGAACCAGAATAATAAGTTTAACCAAATGAGCCTATTAGGAATGACCAATACATCGGCACTAACATCGTTATACGTTGACCGGAACAAGAGCGTTTACAATCTCACTTAAAAAAAACAACTCATCCAGAGATGAGCACATCACAAAATGATTAAACATGCAGACAAAAAAATTCAATGAAGAAAATAAGATCATCCATGATATGTTCACATTACATTTTGAAGTGAACCAACAACAAATAATAACACCCCCAAAAACTTGAACATTTTTAGCTACAAATACAAGTCAAGCTCCCATAAATTAGAGGAATCAAATATCAGGCTATTAATCTCTTCATTGAAGGTCGAAAGTGGCCCTAAAGCCCTGAGATTAATTTTGCAGGGATGTATTTCTTCTGAAAACATCAAACTGTTGAAAGATTTGCTTATCTATACCCTAATAGAAATGACTGGAGCTTGTCACAATGTATTTTGCTAAAGCTCTGTATTTCTAAGTAGTTTCACCTTTAAAAATAATTATTGATGTGGTCTTTAGTCAGAATTTTATTTACTGTAGGTGCCCTGTCTCTTTGTAAAAATACAACTTTTAAATTGCATGAGGCCTAACTGTGATATTCATGCTTCTGCATCGATATTCAGAACGACGTCTGTGTGATGATTTACCCGTCGGAGGTCCAGCACATCTTGTAACATGAAGCGGATCCTAGAGGTGGTCTTCCTCTCCTTTATTATTTTCTCCATCTGATTGAAGTACTGGTCCATCCGAGGCTGAAGAGAGACAGAGAGGTTTAGTTTTCCCCATCAGTATGTATGCTGTGTGAGGAGGTTTGTCAATGTACTTTGTGTGTTTCCTGTTACCTTGGCTTTCTCAAAGTCCAGATCCTTGCCAATGGTGGACAACAGTCTGCACAGGCACTCCAGTGACTCCTCATCGTGGTTTTTGAGTAGCTTTACAATGCAGTCGTGCATGATTACCTCTGTGAGCATTTTGAGCTTGAAAAGTTCACCGATGAACTTTATGTTCCCAAGCGAGCGCCGCCTGGCCTTGTCTTTAGCCTCTTCCAGCTCCTCGATTAGCCGCTGCTTCACCTCGTCCTGTTGGAAAAACATCAACAGGAATAAGAGACAGAATAAGACAAGAAAGGCTAGCTGCAACTATCTGAACCTCTAAAATGTTATTTAGAAACATCATAGCATGCATAAGAACAAATAAAATTCTTCATAATAAAACTCTGACGTCTATTTGTATCCCTTTAAGTACCTAACCCTTTAAACCATGATCTAGTAACTTTACCCCTGAGGCAGCTTCCAGCTCCTTTTGCTTCTTCTCAAAGATCTCATCATCATCTTTGTCCTTCTCAAACTCCTTCTGGCACCGGTTTAGCAGCAGCTTGCGGAAATTCACAGTGGCACCAGGCTTATCTGGGGTTATGACTTTCAGCTGAAAAGAGCAGCAACGATAAAGGTTAGAAAAGCAAGAAAAACCAAACTCTAGTTCTGGGACTGCCATAGAAGCTCCTCAGTTCCTCAATGCCATCACTTGGATCAGTGGCCCAGACACGTGGCACAAAACAGAGGTCATCATTGGAGCCAAAAAATAATGATGTATGTAGGGCTGCAACTAACAAGTGTTTAGGAATTTGAATGTTGAGATAATCAATAAACTGGATAAAATGTTGGCACATTCTGCAGATTTTCCATTAAACCATTAAAAACTTTTTACACAATATTAAAAGTACATTTAGAGATTCAAACTAACAAATAATTCAATTGATCTATTGATTTGTTGGATTAACCTGTTAATGACTGGACACAAAAAAGGTCCTTAACAGACACAATAGAATCAACTATTAAATTATTTTAGTAATCGATTCATCACAATTAATTGTTTCAGTCCGAGATGTGCGACAGAATGTTTTTACTTTAGTGAACTTTGCCCCCAGTCTTGGGCAAAGTTATTGCCGTTATTGCCCTATCACTGAGACTAAATATTGCTTCTTTCACTACTGAAGTGAACCTACACTCTTGATTTATGGAACAACTGATGTCTTAAGTCAAATCTTTGCCCTGTATTTTATAAAGAGGAATGAAAGTAAAGGGGTTGAAAATGGACACAATATGCACAAAAAATTGCATATTGTGCAATTTAACTGCAGGTAAATGTGGCTCTACTTACCCCTGAAAGACAGCGGCACATGTTTGCATAGGCCACTGAAAAGTCTGGCTCGGAGATGGCCTTCTCAAAGGTAAGGTCAATCACTCCTTTTAACCTCTCCTCAGTGTCGACAGTCAGTTCCTGCACCTGCTTCATTAGCTGCTGGAATTTTTGTGGGGTGAGTTTGTTGAGGATACTTCGGACGCGCTTGAACAGGTCTTGCGTTTTCATCTGCTCGGGATCGTTCTCCTGTGGCTCCTCTGGCTCCCGGCTCCGGGTGGGTTTCTTTACTGAAGGTTTCCAGGCCTTTTCCGCCTTGTTGAGCTGAATATCATCGTTGAGCGACATGCTGGTGATGATCTTCCTCGGCTCTTTCCTCTGGACCTGCTGAGAACGTCGGGGCCCGCCCACTCCAATGCCCATACCAGGGGGCTGGAGAGGGAGAGAGTTAAACCAACAGAGACAGTTACACTAAGAGTGTAATAAATTCATGAATGCTTTGATAGGTCACACAGAAAAACTGGTAACTCACAGGTCCTCTGCTTCCTCCTCCCATTCCAGGCCTGCCAAGGTTGGCGAAGGAGGGTGTGAAATCAGGACCACAGTTCATTCCAGGAAGACGACTTGGGTCAAGCTGGCGAAGAGGAGTCTTGTTTGCCTGAACAAAAAGAAAACAAGACTGGTTTATGGAGAGCTTTTGGATAAATATTTTTGAGAAATCTCTCAAATGTAACTTTTACAAAGCTACAGGATGAGGAAAATATGCAAAGGCTTAGAGTTAAGGTAAATAGTATCCACCTTGTCTAAGACAACATCGCTGATGGCTGGTAAACCCTCAGGCTTGTTCATACTGGCAGAGATGAACTGGAACCCAAGAAGAAACTCTCTGTCGTATTTCTTCTTCTCTTCTTTGTTAATTGGTTTCCATTGATCTGAAACAGAAGATATAAATCATCAGCTCATTCACTCCAAGCAGTGCTAAACGGAGATCCTCAGTAGCATCAGTGTCCAGAGACCCACCCTCTTTGTACTGGTACTTCATGTCTGTGGCAGCCGGCTCGATGTTCTCTGCATCCAGCTTGTCCTCTTTATCCTCCCAGGTCAGGTCTGCCTCCTCTTGTGCAGGAGGGGCTGCAGCTGGGGGCTTTGGCTCTGGTGGTGGGGCAGGCATCGGCTCAGGCTCAGGCTGGGCAATTACCTGCTCCTTGATCAAACAAATCCAAGTGCAATACTACAATTACTCAAATAATCCAAGAAAGCAGGTTCACACTGAGCCAAAGTGACTGTTTTCATATTACAAGCATTAATTACTCTGTATAAAGGGTTTTTTTCTTTTGTACAAAAAGAAAAAAGAAAAGAATTATCCTTGCAAGCAAAAATTTTCATAATATTTCAAAGTGAAACTGTAAAGTGGAAGAATATTGAGCTAATAATGTCAAAGCACCTTATAATTTCTTTGCAATCAAATGGTAATGTGACTAAAGAGCACCACTTCTTTTATTGACATATGATGCATTCAGGTTTGCTATACTTGTATCACTAATTGCAGAATAAATGTGCCAGAAAATAAAATGGAAATGTCAAACAAAACTAGGAGTGAATGTTGCAAGTTAGTGACTAAATGCCATAGACTTGAGTTTTTTGAAAATACTTGTACCTCCAATTTGAATATTGAAGTGAAATTGACTGGATTGTAGGGGTTGCCACAATACTAATATTTATGCAGCAAGTCTTGATTTTTGCTAAAATCTGATTTATTTTCTTAATTAGGCCAAAACCAATAAAGAAGAAAATTTGGAGATAATTTATGAATAGATAACTTAAAAGTGATCATTCTCTGTAAACTAAATAACACTAAAATCTATACCAGGCTTACTCAGGAAAACAAAGCTGGTAAACGAGCGCAATATGGACAAGATGCTTTTTTTCCAGAACTCAATGATCCACCTCAAAAAATATTTTCCACCCATTTAACAACTGAAGTTGCAGTAAACACACCTCCTTAAAGGCATCTAAAAGGTCTCCAACTGCCTCCTTCTTGTTCAGATCCTTCATCTTTCTCTTCTTCTTTGGCACAGACACAGCAGCTGTAGAAAGGAAAACAATCAGGACATAGACATGTTTAGAAGGGCTTTGAGAAGAAGCAACACAGCTCCAATTTCAGAAAGAGATTGACCTTGCATAGTAGTTTCCACATGAGATGGGGTGACAGTTGGTGGACTGGGAGCCTCCTCCTTCTCCTCTGCTGTGGGAGGAGGAGGAGTAGAGATCATCTCAGATAGGTTGTCAGCTGAGGGAACCGTCTCTGTAGGCAACTGCGTTTCTTCCTTGGTGTCCATCTGGAGCTGCGGAGCATCTTCCTTGACCTCAGAGACAACTTCGGTAACTACATCCTGTACCTCTGAATCAGAAGGTTGGGTCAGGACAACCGGTTTGGTTGGAACTTCCTCGACAGCGGGAGCAGATGCTAACTGGTCGACAGCAGCAGGCGTGGCTGTAATTGTTTGTTTCTCAGCTGCCTCAGCGGCACAGCTCTGCGTGACAGGCTGCTCACTTACATCAGGCTCAGCAATAGGACTGTCGTCGCGCTCAGACATGTCGACTGCAGGTCCGTGGGGGATCTGAGCAGCTGGTAGCGAGAGGCCATTAGGTAAACGGAGGCTGAGCTCCTCAGGCTGAGCAATGGGAGATTCTAAGGTGTCCTCCGAGTGGGTGGGGGGTACAGTAACCGATGACTTCTCATGCTCCATATCTGCCACACCGTTAGAGCTGGGGGCCTCAGCACTCGATGAGTCTAAAGAGGCTTGTATCTCTTCCACTTTAGTCTCTTCCTCACCGGAGTCCTCCTGTTCTACAACATGGTGTGTGTTTTCTGATTTGCTCTGTGCAGAACAGGTGGGGGAAGGGTCAGGAAGGGGTGCAGGGTAGGCAGGGACCTCAGGTGCTGATGGGGGGCTGGGTGTGGGTCCTCTTTGTGGTGAGGGAGCCTCTATCACATCAGCAGCAGGAGTAGAGGCTGAAGGCTTGCTGGGAGGAGGGTGTGTGGATTCGGAGAGTGGAGGGGGTGCAGAAACCTTGACACCAGAGGACGGGGTCTCACTGAGGATGGGATCAACCTTGGGAAGCTCAGGGCTCTGTGGCAAAGAAGGTGGCGTAAGTTTTCCTCCGTCATCTAAAATAAATAATAAAAAGTAGAGAAAAGGTTGTTAAAATGTAGTGGAATTATTTTACACATCATGTATCGACAATTTAATGATGAATTATCTGAAGCAGCCCTCAACCCAAACAAGATTTATGTAGCACCTACCTGGTCTAACCAGCGCCGTTGTAGCAGCAGCAGAGATACTGTCACCGTTGGCCTGAGGCAACACTGTATTATCCGATCCAGATATGGCCGTCTGTTGTGGAACACATAATAAAGAAAAGGCTCACTGCTGAGCATAGCACGCTTTTCCACTTTAACACGAGAAAAAATATTTTTGTTTTTTTTCCTTTGTAAGAAATTTGCAGTGTTTGGTCAAAAGATTTGAAAACAAAACAAAAAACAAAAACAAAAAAACAACAGTCAACATGAAATTTAAGTATATTTGATGAAAAACCCATGATGGCCCAAAGCAAAGTAGAACTTATTTTAAGTACAACCAAAGCAAGTACTAAATATGGTTCATTTTTAAACAAAAGTCTAAAAAAAACAGTGACTTGCATTGTAATTGAATCTCCGTTTGAACCAATACTTCTAAAGAAATTCCACTGCAAACCATTGCCTTCAGATGGTAAAAAGTGTCCATCTGTGTGGACCCTAATCGTAACAATAATGCAGCTGTTTCATGTTTGGTAGAAAACCTTCTGTTGTGTCCAAATTGACATGTAGGATACAAATTAATTTGTGGAAGGTGCTCTGGTCAGATAAAACCACAACTGAAATGTTAGTGGAAAACTTTCAAAACACAACAAACTGAACAAACCATTTTCATTGTGAAAGATGGTGGGGAGATACTTTCTTCCCTCATCAGTTAGGGAAGCAGGACAGTTAATGAAATGATGAATGGAGCTAAATGGAGCTAAATGGAGCCATAGAAGAAAACCTGTTTGAGGCTGCAAAAGACTGGAGCAATCCTAAACCGACAGCCAGGGTAAGATCAATAACCTCAATTAGATTTAGTCTAGACCAAAATCAAATACAAAATTGGTGTCTGTCGAGTGTCTGTTAACTGATGTTCATGTAATGTGACCGATGGCAAAAATGTCAGTCCCTTTCTGTGCAAAGGTAGTAGCTTTATACCTGAAAAGTCATCATTAAAGTATTGACACAGGGCAAAAAATGAATGAGTTTGTTTTGGTGACCTAACTGAGATAACTGAAGGGTCTTCAAAGTATTATTATACTCGTTCATCTTTCAAGTGTTTCAGGTAGCCCTGATCATTCATGTAACTTATGTGAAAAAACATCTGTTCTTGCTGCAACATGTTTAGAATTGAAATAGCATCTTCGGCTTGAATAGTTTTGTTGATAAGCTAACTCCTTTGTTGCACAACTTGAATACAATAGCCTTTTATTATTAATCCCCAGTGGGTCAGGAAAAGTGGCTTTGTCGTCCATCAAAGTCGTTTGTGGATGTCACTTGAATCAAGGGCGTACGGGAAACACAAAACATATGTTCCAGCTAAGGATTTTTGTCGTTAAAAAAAAGAAATTGTGTTAATATTTTTTAACACATTAAAATCTATGTAATTAATCAATCAAAATTAAAGTAATAAAGTTCAGGCCCTAGTTTTCTTGTAATGGTGAATAAAAATAAAAATTAGAACCTTGTATTCGACACATATTGCGCCGTCAGATGAAATCCAATGAGACACTAAAATTTTTGCTTGCAACATAAAAAACCTGAAGGTCACATGAATGCTTTTGCAAGGCTTGGTCACAGTAATCTAACCAAATAAGGCTTCCAACACAGGGTAAAAGTATTAACATAACATACATAGCTATAAACAGAATGACAATATCAGTTTTTGGTCTGAACACAAGTTCAGTTTGTACTTTATCTTTCTAACTGAACTCATTGCGTGCTACTTCAGCTCACCTGTGGGGGCGTTGGGGTAGAGCCACTGCGGCCCCCAGACATAATCTCCTCTGTGATGTCCTGGCCTCCTCGGTTAGGATCTCTTATTCTTATCTGTGGAGCAAAAGTACAAAATTAAGAGCAAAGCATTGCAGGAGGAACATGTGATAGTTTAAGCGTAAGGAGCTCCCACCCTGTAGGGTTAAGACAAGTAAAAAAAAAGTAGATGAGGAAGTTTTGAGTTTGATCAGAGCATTACAAAATGAGGCCTATTACTAGCCCTTTTCTGTGTCGTCTGTTCAGCTCACTCAACAAAATCCACATCTCTATTTCCATTTTGAACAGATGAAAACCAACTCTTAAGATTGCTTCACATTTTCTTGTGTGGCTCTGCTGACTGTGCTTTCAGAGTCAACAGGGAAGCAGTCTGACACTATGAATCTAATCAACCAACCTGAAGCCAAATTGTGAAATTCCACTGCTGGTTTAAACTGGTAGAAAAAGGCATGGCTACGCCAAAGGCGAAGCAGAATCAGGTGTGACAACAGCAGCCTTTCATGTGCACACACAGACATGACATACAGAGGGAACAACTAAAGTGAGTGAAAATCTGCTCACTCACACAGCACAAGCCTTTCTGTTTGGCTGCGATCTGTCGATCATGTGGTATTTGTGAAATCTGACTCATAAAAGCTGAACACTACCGGACAGAAACTGATCTATAAAAGTTACAACCCAGCTTCTACAACACTTTTGCTCTCTAACCTACTTTTCAATGAAAGTGCAGCAATGTTTACCCAACACTACTGACCTTTACCTGGTCCGGTTTTGTTTGCAAGTCCTTCCCAAAAGCAGTACAAACCCCGGTGGGCCTCTCATCCCAAGGCTGGAGTAGCTGCTCCTGCTGGTTTCATGCTGGACTTTCAACTCCACAAAGCAGGGTGGGGGTTGGACACAAAGTAGTTTTGCCTTGGTTTCACTCACATAACACACTGCCAGGCAAAGAGTCCAGCAGAATAGAACCGCATTGAGCCAGGCCTGACTATCTGTAAGCTAGCTAACAGTCTGATCAACCCTCTGTCCTGAGCTGAACAGAACAGGGAGGGAAAAAAGAGAGAAAGAGACTGGCCTTGTAGAGCTATGGAGCTGGAATGTGCACCCCCGCCCACAGAGACTCACACACAGATAAAAGAGGCCTGAGAGAGGAGGAGGGGCATGGTGCGAATGGGAGGGTTTCCAGTTAAAAAAAAAAGAAAGAAAAAAAGCTCACATTATCAAATAGGCAGCAGCTTGCTCAAGAAACTCCCCCCTCCATTTCTTTAACACACGAAGGCTAAAGGCACTCTTCAGATTTCAGTTTCAGCTCACGCCTTCTGAAAGCAGAGGAAACTAGAGCAGGAGGAAGAGGGGGGGTGCCACAGCGACAGCGAACGGCTGTAGGGGGAGGAGACCAGTGGCCACGTGGACCTCAGCTATGTGCTGACATGTCCCTCAGCCCCCTCCTTTCAGGACTCTCTCAGCCAGAGCATGTCCGCAACTTTTGCAATGCATATGGTAAATAGCGACATCTAAATAGCTACTTGTGAGTTTAATATGCCAAAAATGAAAAAGCCACAAAAAGACCTGACTTCACGAGATCAAATTAATTCAGTTTCTTCCGTTTCTGGTATAACAGCTACTTTTTGAAATAAAATGAGTAAAATAAATGTACAAGTTTGTATCTTGTTTATCTGTTTTATTGGCTTGACCAATAGGTTAAAATCACCAATGAAACTTAAAAGATTATGCAATCACGGCTTTCATATTGTGTGCACATTGGGTCATGTATTAATTTTTTATTTTAGTGTTCAGCATAAAATTTAATTCCTATTGGTCAACTTTCAGGTGCACCCGAGGCATCTGTCTTTTGCGTATTCCTATCCATTTATTGACTTCAAACACGTAAATGAATAAAATAGTCATATCATTAAGGCTACAGCTAACAATTATTTTAATAATCGATTATTCTGAAGATTAATAGGATTTTTTTTTTAAAAATTGCACATTCTGTAGATATTCATGATATAACTGCACAAGTGATAAACATTTTTTTGAAAACAATGTTTTGAAAAACATTAAAAGATGGTAACAATTAAAATCTTTTTTTAACATGCAACAAAAATGCAACACAAACATTCCTTTAGTACTCCTTTAGTGTACACTCGATAATTTGTATCAAAGAATGACTGCAGCTAAAAAATTATTCTAACGTGAAAAGCTAAGCCTTGCTTGCTTAAATATCAATCGAAAAGCAAAAAGTGCTGTAAAAGGTTTTTTGTTTTCACGGGATTTGAACCAGGTGAAGAAATCTATGTCACTGGAGTAAAACATATTTAACACAATGCTCAAAAACAGACCCAATTTTGGGTCCTGCAGCACTTCTACCAAGACCAATCTAAGCACATGCTATACAATAACCAGTAAAGGCATATTGCATATCTATTAACGAGCAAAAGCTCATCTAAGTGATAACAAAATTTTCTACCTCAACAACACCCAGGTGAACCATTAAAGATTTAAAAAAAAAAGCATAATTAGGCGCTATTTAGATGCTAACGACTCACACCTGGTAAACACCAGGAACCAGTGCAACAAGAGCCTACCCACACAATCTACCAAACAGTTGAAAACCCAGACTTTGCTGTTTCCAACAATACCAGAATCACCATGCTATGCACAAAACTCACTGAACCAGCAGTCAAAGAAATAAAAAATAAAAAAACAGCTAATTTCACAAAGCTAAAAATATAAATTAAGTCCTTCCTTTTTTGTGTCACAGTCATAATCCGTGTGAGAGTAAATATTTCCACTCAGGTGCTGTAATCCATTGTCCTTGTGTCACACTGATGTGATTTCTCACTATTTTCAACTTTTCTGTCTCCATGGATACCGCCTATGTACTCAAACACTTCCTTTGGTAGAGCACAGCTGGAACTTTAGCTCTTTTGTGATTGATGAATGATGTTGCTATAGGATTTTGTAATCCCCCTGTTTCTATTGGCTGTTAGATGTGTCAATCACCCAAATCAAGAGAACTCTACAAAAAAATCTCCAAAAAAGAGGCTCCCTTAGAAAGAGGACAACAGTTACGGTTTAATTACCACTCTTTGTTCTTTCAGCAAATCGCCTATTTGAGTCTGCCTACTCCAGTCAACATTCATCAATTACTAAATTAACTGATAATTTCAATCATCAATTCATCACTTAAGCCCCAAGTGTCATTAAAAGCAAGTCTAGTAAAATGATACCTTTAAGGTTTAACAACATGTTTGTGAAGTTGCAGCAATATGACTATATGCAATATTTGCATTAATACATATTATTAAAACGCATACTTTTTTTTTAGTTCAAGAACCACTGCAATTTATTCAGAGATAGTGACAGTAATACGAGTGTAAAGCGTATTACTATCACAATTCTGGAAGTTTCTCATGAGTAGGAAAGACACATCATGCTCAATTAATTGCCCCAAAGGAGTTACTGAAGCTTCAAAGCTAGACAGATAAGGCTGTTCATTCCAAGTAAACTGAAGAAAAAACTTGCAATTTAATGACCAAGCCTAAAATATAAGGATTATTATTAACCAAAGGGGAATTCTGTAAAGATATAACTTGATTTTCTAGGAAATGAGTATCAGGAAGAAGTTAATCACGTACCGCAGAGACTAAAAGTCACAATGCTGTCATTTACAGTGAGGTACATTTTGTGTTACAGACCACTAACTCTACCTGTTTGCGTTCCCGTTTGGTGGGGATGTGTTGAGAAGGCTGAGAAGGTGCTTGTTGTTGTTGGGGGGCCGGGTTCATAATGACAGGCGCTGCCTGCACAGAGGGAGGGAACGTGGGCTGTGCAGGGTAGTAAGTCCCTGTAGAGGATAAAACAGAAAGAGAAATGTAAACCAACACACACTGACCTAATGTTACAAGAGTAAAACAAGGGTTTGATCCACACAGTATGTGCAGAAACAGTTCTTCTCCCTGTGTTTATAAGCTGTTTGAGAAGTTCAAACCTTTCCTGTTCTTTATATCTTTAAGGAAGTGAGAGAAGGTTCATGGAAAACACTTAAATTCTGTTTAAAAAAAAACCCAGAACATTTCCATCAATTTAAATTGACATTGAGGACACTTTTGACTTAAAAGCAAAAAGATACTATCCAAAAGTACAGTGTGTGCACCTACAATATTCCCAGAACTTCCAATTTTCCCACTTTTTGTTATGTTAAAGCCTTATTCTTAAATGAATCAATAAAATATTTCCTCATAACCCTAAAACACAACACCCCTTAGTGACAAGAAAAAGGTTATTAAAATGTATGCAAATACATCAAAGATAAATACAATGAAATCACATGAACATACGTATTTACAGCCTTTGTGAATTACTTTATTGAATATGATGCCACAAGCTTAGCATCCATCTTTGGGCAGTCTAGCCCTTTTTTTTTCAGAACCTCCCCAGGTCTTTCAGGTTGGATGAAAACAGTTGATGAATGGGCACTTTCAAGTCTTCCCCAAAATGGTAAATCAGATTCAAATCTATGTTCTTACTGGATAGCACAAGGACATTCATAGAGTTAGCCTGAAGCTACTCCTTTAGTGTCTTGGCTTAATGCTTGAGGTTATCACCCTGCTGACAAATGAACAGCCCAGTACAAGGTTGGGAGCACCTTAGAGCACATTTTAAATCTAAATGCCAGTGAACTGCAAAGATGAAAGGTTTTCTTCTCTTCACAAAGCAGGGAGGTGACCAGATTCTTGGTCACCTTGATGACTAAGATTCAGCTTTAGGAAGTCTTGGTGGTTCCAGACTTCTTCCATCTAGCTGGTTGAGGTCAGCAGTGGACATAACTACCCATCCCCTTAGTAGAAAGGTGTTTGTCTATAATAGTCCACCAATTTATTACATATATTTTTATGGTACATATATTTTTATGGTAAGGCTTTAAACATAAAAGCTGCAACAAACAAGAATAGAAACGCAGGATAGGAACGTTTGAGTGAATTATAAAAATGTATGAATCCATCGATAAAAACATCCAGGACAGGAAGGAAGAAAAGATGGATGGAGTGAAAGGAAAAATTTGAAAATACCAAAAAATGAAAGAAAGAAAAAAAGCAAATAAACAATTAAAATATACTTTAAAGAACAGAAGATTGAAAAAATAAGGAAGAGACAAAAAGTCGGAAAAGGACCAAAGAAATAATTGTTAAGACAGGAAAGGCTGGAAAATACAAAATATTGATTATATATATTTTTTCCATAGATATATACATAGACCAGGAAAGTATATAAATTCAATTCCACACTCCTCCATATTTTGGGTCCATGTGTCTGGACAGAGCACACAGAGGGCAAAGAGACAATGATTCAGCAGTCCCTCACTGCTCGGCACAGCTGACCCTCAGTGCTTAAGGCGAGCTGTAAGTATCACATTCAGAAAATCTATTTAGAAAACTCCTGCCTGTGAAGCACATTTACCTCCAACCCTCCCTAAAGGTTCCCACAAGTTGAAAAATCCTCAACAAACCCCACAACACAAGGCAAATTGCTCAATAACAAACACAGCCATTAGGAGGCATTACCTGGCCTTTTCTCTGGCTTCCGACAATCCAGCCTCAGAGGGAGAAAAGCAAACTTTAAATCAAAGAGGCCATTCTTCAGGCACAGAAACAGCTAGCTGCCACTCAGTCTCCCTTCCCTCCATCGTGCATTTCAGTCTAACTAACATTACTGAGTCTGCATTGTTGACGAGGAACAGCACAGCCTAAATATAGTCAAAACCCACACAGTCTCGAGGACGAGTCTGCGCAGGAGAAAGAAAGAAAGAAAGTGCGAGTGAGACGTGGCCCATTTACCAGAGAGTGCCAAAAGGTAGAATGACACGATTCCTGGACAGCGTCCCTAAACCATAAAAAAGAAGAGACTGAAGCCCTGACTTTTGTTTTACTGAAGCTTGGATCTGTGGTTCTGTGGGGGAGCATGACAGACCTACCCTGAGAGACCTCAGAGTCCTGCTGCTGCTGCGAACCACGGTTCCCCATGTGGAACTCCGACTGAATGCAAAACAGTGTACAGAGAGGAGAAAAAGAGAAGGGTTCTCCTCAAACCCCCTCTCTAAACTTCCTCCAGTTCTCTCTACCGGTTCTCTCTCCGACTGACTTCTTCTACTGTTCAGTCCATCCTCCTACAGACAGAGTTAGTTTCTGATTAGCTCCTCCCACTGACCTTCCTAATTCCTCCCTCCCCACCTTCTTCCCCTCTTGGTCCAAAGACTCCCGTACCTCTGCACCATGAACTTGTCATCTGATCAGCTGTAGCGACAACATGAGAGCCAAATACACGGGGTGGGCCTGAGGGGACCTGCTTATCAAATCGCTCTTGGCAGGTGGCAGAGTTAAAAATAGCTAAAGCCACGTAAGATCACTCCACTCTTTTTTTTCTTCTTCTTCTTCTTTTACAAAGGTTTTTCTCAATTGAAACTTCGGGTATTTAGGTTGGTGTCCTCTTGACTGATGGGATGAGCACCGCAGTAAGATAGAAAAAAACTCAGTCTAAGGCCTTCAGGCTAAAGATTGAGCCTCTGCTAAACTGGCCTCTAGACAATTTGAAACTTTATAAATGGCATATCAGGCTTCCAAAAAAGTTAAAGAAAAAGCAAGTTAAAATTAGTTTTGAAGGTAGTAAAAAGTGTCTTTTACACATCACAAGTAAACTAAAATGTGACTTAACATAACTGCCAGGCAACCAGAATCAGACATCAATAATAGCCCAATCAATGAACTATATTACCTTCGGGTGTTATGAAAATGCTGAATATAACATAAACTTAAAAAGAAACCTAAAACCCTAAACACAACACCCCTTAGTGGCAAGAAAAAGGTTATTAAAATTTATGCAAATACATCAAAGATATGGTTCATATCCATATTGGATGCCTTGAAATTAATCTCTGCCTTCCAATGCTTTCCAATACATTCTCCTTTCAGAATGCCATTACAACACTGCTGTTTCATGATGCCATTTAGGGACATTGTAGTTTGTATGATAAGCTCAGCACTCGCAGTTCCACCAGGTGTTTGATAATAGCTGCTGGCACTAGTCTGGAGGAGCCAAGTAGAGGATTTGTGGGGGAGGGGTTCTCTATTAGAGGAAAGGCTGCAGCTTCAAGGAGGAGCCTTGGGTAACTAGGCGGCACTTTGCAAGACCAAAAATTTGTGCAACTCTGAATGGTTGTCATGGGAGATTAAGGCAAACATGAAAAAATGAAAGCAACATTCCAGGTATGTCTTTTTATGTTATAACTTTGAAAGCTCAAACCAAAGTTCAAAAAAGTAAATTTTACACAATGCCTTGAATACCTCAGACTAAAGTGCTTGGCAAGGAAGAATGTCCCCAAAATCCAGTAGATGTAAACAACTGATGAAACGTTGCAGTTTGCTTTCAGGAGCAGCTAGTTTCTCTTTAGGTAGAATAGAAACTTATGTAACACAATAAAGGCAATTTAATTTTCTAATTAAATCAACCCTCAAATCTGTTCAGCTTTGTGCCTAAAGACACATTCACTTTTTGAAAGCTATTTAAGTACTATTGGAAAGTTTAAGCCTTTTAAATTGTACTTGTGCAACCCACATTTGACTTTGTAATTGTTTATCTTAAGTTGATCATAAATACATACAATATCTCAGTAATGTTGCATTCCATAAATATTCTACAGTCATTTCATTATTAGAGCAGTTCTGTGTATTGTGAGCAGTCAGATGCAGTGACTGCAGCTTCAAAGGTTACGGCACGATTAGATCATGTGACATGAAGAGCAAAGAGCAGGACAGTGAGTGATAGGGGGGAGGCCATTTCTACAACTCTGCCTTCACCACTCTAGTGAGGGACTAGTTTCACAAAGACAACACATACCTCGAATGCCTGGCAGTGAGGGGTCAGCAAGTCTGCTGAAAGGCATTATCACTTTCTGTGCTGCATTGACACCCAGTCACCTCTAGATGGTGGGATAGCACAGCAGCAAGGTCTATATCCACCTACAGTGCCTTGCAAAAGTCCAACTGCCCTACACTACATATGTAATGGCTATAAATTAGGATTTTTTAAGACAATCCAAAACAAAGAAATGCTTATTTGAAGTGGAAGGAAAATGCTACTTGTTCATTCTACATTCTATATAAACAGAATCAAGTTATTTATGGAGTGCATTTTTTATTCAGCCCCCCTTTTGTTGCAATTACAGCTGCCAACTCTTTTGGAGCATGTATTTAGCATCAGTTTGAAGCAGGAGTCAATTTTTTGTTAGGTTTGATGTTGCGCCTTACTCTTTCCATTTCCAGAAGATTGACTGAACATAACCTGCCAAAACTCAATGGCTTGATAAAGTTAATACATCAAATAATGCAATCAAAACCCTTCCAACTTATTTATTATACAGTGTGTTACCAGTGTGTCACCTAGTGTTTTCATCATTTAGCAGTATTTGACATAACTCTTATTTTCCATCTCTAAACATATTGTTTAGTTCATTTTTGTTAATCTATTTTCTGTGTTAATAAGACACAATCTACATCAATTTACACATGCTCCCTAACCTGACATGTTTTAATCAAGGTACCGCAGTGACATGTTTGTATGGCAGTCGAGGCCCAGAGCAGAGCCTCTTACCATAAGTACCATATTCAGCAGGGCTGGTGCCTGGGTAGAAACCTGGGGTTCCAGTTGGGACTGAGTATTGCTGTGGCGTGGCCACATACGTTTGAGAACGGTACTGTAAAAAAAGACAAAAAAAACAGTAAGACCAAAGAAAATCAATTCCACGGTATCACTTTTAAGGCTGTGAAAATTAAAACTGCATCTGATTACCTGTCCTATGAAATAAGCTGGGGCTTGTGGTGAGCTGGGGAACTGCAACTGCTGTTGGGGGATCATCATCATCTGGGAGCCAGGGCCCGCCTGGTAGACATGGGTGGGTGTCACAGCCCGGGGTGTGGTGCTAGCTGGGACGCCCCGAGGCCCGCTGCTGGGAGGCAGACTGCCTCTGTTGGTGTAGTAGGGCTGCAAGAGGAATATAGGTGTGCAGGATGAGAACGGGTAGAACAGTGGAAGAAATATGAGCAGGAAAGGCCTGGGTATCAACAAAAAAAGTGAAAAGAGAATAAAAAAAGATAGAATGGAAAAACACAAAATCTTTTGTTGTCATTTAAAAACAAAAGATAACTGTGTCACAGACAAGAGAAGCTAACCTGTGCAGCTAGGCTAACAGTTTGTATGAATATATGGCCAGGATCCAACTGGAAACATATTGGCCCCGCCTGTCAGCAGGGATGAAGCAGCTAATATGAGTTCATTCAGAGCCTCCTCATTGACATTCTGCTGCAGGGCTGGAAGCTAACAAACTGACACCAAGCCAATCATGCAAACCCCTGCCAACTATTACACACACATCCTCAACATGAAAACGAGAGAAAAAAAAAGAAAAAAAAGGTCAAATCCAGTTACCTGTAGCGACCTGAAGCTTCCCTTCAGCAGCACAAACAGAACACAGAAACACGGCAAACAGAAGGAGTCAGAAGGTGAAAGAAAGAGGATTGAGAAACAGAAAGCATCAATCAGAGCAGAGCAACAGCCCTTTCTGAGGCAAGCAGTGAGCTAACAAAAATCATGCAGAGAACACAAAGAACAGTGGATCCGCAGTGAACCAAGAGCTCAAAAGAATCCATGCACTTTAGATGATGAACACTATTTAAAACCTTTTTAGAACTAATAGCCAGTGGTTACCCTTTGACAGGATTTTTATACAGTGAAACTTCAGCGAAAGCCAGTAAAACAAACATTTGATTTCAAACTGCCTATATCAATAAAATGCTGAAGTAGAGTCTGACCACAGTACATCAGACATGCACTAAAAATGATGGCTTGTTACTGTGAACTTTCTTTCAAAGAAAGAATTCAAATGCTTTTGAAACAGCTTTCTTATGTCAACTGGAGAATGTTTTAGTTCTTTACTTCCTCAAGTTTGCATATTTCCCAGAGTCGTCCAGAGGTGATGCGTCAAAGGCTCAGGTCGTGGCGTTTTTAATGAATCACCTGTAGACTACCTAATGAGCAGTCAATCTCTTTGCTGCAGCAGACAGCAGTCAAAACAATGTCAGTTGGGAAAGCCTGGGAGGAATTTTAATGAGGGAATCAAACAAACACCTTCTTATTGTGATAAAAGAATTGATCACCATCTAACATTACATAAAACATTCTCCGGAAAATTACTGCCACAAGTAATTCTGTTAGATTTAGTGAAAAAAAATATTTATTTGCCGTTATTTAAAACAAAATTGTGAGGATATGTTCTCCAGCTGTGACTCATTTCATCAGTCTAATTTAAACAGGAACCTTTAAATCAGCTTGATTCCTCTCCTCTTCCATCCTACTATCACTTGTGAATAATACATCAAGATACCTGAAACCTTCCGCATAAGACAGACCCATACAGTTAGCAGTCCTCTTGTTATTAGATAAGAAGCATGAGCTCAGACTTAGAGGAGCTAATTATTATCCCGGCAGCTTCCCCATTCAGCCGCAAACTGCTCCAGAAATGCACGGTGAAAGACCCAGCTTTCAGCTTCAAGGCGCAAACAAAACCACATCATCTGCACAAAGCTCATTAGAGACCCAAAGTAAACACACTTGTCTCCATGCCTACACCTGGAGATCCGGTCCATGAACGCCTCATACACAATGGGGAACAAAATGCTCATACTTTGAGCTTTTTTAGACTATACTGAGCATCCCATAGTTGTCTCGGGTGATGTTGTTTTAAGTTGTCTCCAGTTCAACACGTGGACCAAAAGGTTTATTTCACAGTTAAAGACAAAAATGAAACAACTGCAACTGAAGTTGGTGAAATATTTTCATATCTCGCGCTACTTTACGTTCTGTAATATTTTATATTTTTACATCAGTGGACTAAGAGTGAAAGAACACAAATAAGTACATTACTGAACTAAAGAATACCAGTAAATATACTGTCAAGATACAAATTCTGACAGTTCACCCAAATAGTTAAGCTAAATATTCGATTCAAATGTAAATGTTTAAAAAGGTTTTTAAATTCTGCCATTTTGCTCTTTGTAAAGCCACTTTGGCAGCAAAACAACCTGATGTCAGATAACTGGCTGAGGTATTTGCCGAGCCTGCAGCGGCCTATTTAACAAGCTTTCGTTGTCTGATGTTAAATGTAGTGTCCAAAATAAGCACCATCTTAAAAACAGTCACTTTTGGGAATGTTCAAGCGATAAGTCTTTTTTGTAGCCAGAAATGCTTTTAAAAGTGGAAACCTATTTAATAAGGTTTGTTTCAAAGTGTTTGGATTTTCCCAGTTTGAGACAGTCCAATTGATTTAATAAATTATTCTTTGATCTTTTGTTCTGTCAGGTTGACTTGTCCAAACTTTCTCCAAGAATCACTTACCACAGTGTGCTACAGCTAAGATGCCAAACCCTTGTTGTTACAAAATACACCTTAAGAAGAAGAAATCTTTCAGTGAAGCTGATAAAGGAGTTTCATCACACTACTTAACCCTTACGAAGATCTGAAGCAACTTTGTCTCTGTATGTAATCTGCGGTTTGAAGTCCTTAGTGGAAGTAAATCATGAATTTTTGCAAACATAAAAGCACGAACCGTAGTGTTTCAGTTTTAATGCAATACAAGATTCTCTTCTGGTTTTTATGTGTTTTATTCATGAAACTAGGGAAGGGTTAATTCTCAACTCTTTTGTAACCATTTGATTCCCACCCGATGTTAGTCAGATGTGCTGTTAGTACCTGTTGGTGTAAAGGTCGGGGCCCGGGGGCAAACTAGAGGAGGAGGAGAGGCAGACAAGACAGATGTTAAAGACAGAAGCTCAAAGTTCATGCATGACTCTCCGTTTACAGTTTTCTCCTGTACATTCGCACCTGATCTCCAAAACAAGAAAAGTGAAAAGCCAACATTCTATGATAAAGCATGAGCAGGAAGGTCAGATAAACCACCACTAGTGTAACTCTTAACTGTCAACTTCTTTTTAGCAAATAAAAACTAGATATCAGATGTCCACTAGGAGTGATGGATACATATTAATTACCTTAAAGCCCCAATTCAGCACCAAGTGAAAAACACTCCAATTCTACAAAGTCATGCAAGATGAAATGAACTGTGAAAGACCCAAACCATGCGGATCTGATCAAAATGAGCTTAGAAAATGAACACCAGAAGAGGTGAGGAAACGTGAGAAGAAGCCATGAGAACATAGACAACCTGAAACATTAAACACATCAGTTCTATACTGTTTGTTCCTTTTATTTCCCGTAGAAAGAGCTATATATTGATATATTCCCTGCCTTATGAGAATTTTTGACTGAGCAAGCCTGGCTGAAGAAGAAAGAAAAAGCTTGGCTCATTGATGTGAAAGGAAAAGTTATCCTTTCAGGGGTTGAGAAAAGCATCACTGGAGGTAAGGGGCAGGTCAGCGGTCAGTCTTACCTGTCGAGGCTGTGGTGTGGGGTTCATCTGTGGAGGTGCTGAGGTTGCGAACACAACGGAAGAAGGCTGCCCAGGGGGAAATGAGGGCTACAACAGACGGAAATGGATATAAACATGAGAAAAACTGGAAAAAGAAGGCTGCCCTGAAGTTTATGTTCACACTGCAGCCATAATAACCCTCTCTCTTATAGATACGCTTGTTAGAACATTGACAGAAACATCAATATGTTAGAGCTTCACACAATATGAAATCACTACCGTTATATCCATAACTGCTCTTAAAGCCTCTTAAATGATAGATTATTATGAATTTTGTTTCTACCAATGGACAACATTCAGGAAGGAATTTAACAAACCCAATGTAGGGAGTGAATTCTGCGCTTCTGTTACAATCAGAGAAATGCCTGCTAAATCTCTGGGGGGGTTTTTCTCACAGGTACGCCAAAGATCCAGCAGGCCTGTTATCAGGCCTGAATATTATATTAAAATATCAATGCTCCATTATTTAATTTCATCAGAGCTGAGATCAGTTGCAGAGTCCACTATGACCTACCCACATCATTAACCCAGCATGCTTTGCATAGGTGAAAACATGGCAACCTCAATAGGCAAAATATATAACAAACATGCAAATTTTGAAGTAATTGTGATTTTTTTCATAAATCATTAACAGCAGCTTTTAGGTTAATATGAAAATGACAATATATTTAGGCCAATATCATCAACTTCTTGGATTTTTTTCTCCTCTGATGAACCTCAGTGAGATTAAACTTTATGAACTTCAAGAGTCTATTGAGACTTACCTGTGAAAGACCAGGGGACGGGGCAGGATGGGGGGCAGAGGGGGGTCCTGTTATAGGCTGTGGTGCTTTATTCATTTCATGGGGTTCTGCATGGGGAGGCAGATGTGGACCTGTGTAAAAATCTAACAAAATAGAAGACAGAAGGCCTCAGTTGGCGTGAAAAATTGTTAAGATGTGTTAAAAACAACAATAAAAAAAAGGGCTTACATTTATGATTTTCCTTTTCGGTCCAAAGAGTAGTTTCTGTGTGGAAAGATATTGTTCCTGAAAGACAGAAAAACTCATAATAATGACAATGTTCTGGTTTCATGTACATTTTCAACAGCAATTCAGCATTTAATTACTTGTTTCTCAATTGATTAAAGAGCAAAAACACCACTGACCACAAACAAGTAGATTTTTAAAAAATGCCACATATTAAATTTTTGTGTTTCCCAACACAAAAGCGCAAACCTCATGGCTGGAGTGACATGTATTTAATTGTTAAAAAACTGCCTCACTTATTGTGTCTATGAATAGGTAATGAGTTAAACATAAAGAGCCACAATAACTTAATTGGATGAAATACAAACATTTCACTGCTTGTCTTTTCAAAAAAACAAAGAAAAAAACATGTAGAGCACCTGATAAATAATGCTTCAAGTTTTTTTTTTTTTTTACATTTTTTTCATGTTCAGCCACAGACCTCAGTATACATTTCAATTTGATGTCACAGAAAAACACAAAGTTAGAAAACAACAAATATTTCTTACAAATGCATTTGTATTTACCAGTCAGTGCCCCCCACCCAAAAAAAAAAACATAGTTGACTGCTTAAAATTACCCTGAACTGTTTTTTTTTCTTGTTGTGACAAAATGTGAAAAGGTTAAAAAAATATAAATATTTCTTAAAAAAATAAGCACGAGAGACACAACGTTTCTCTTGCAGCAAAGCAGGTAAAGTTCGAGAAATTTTTAGAACATCCATTTGAAATACGTAATGTGGATCACATTCAGCTATTACCAGTAAATTTAAGTTGGTACCAACAGTGACCAATAATTAACAACTTATTGAAGCAAGCATCCAAGCATCTGTTCACCAAACATGGAATAAAGAAGTCCTATTTTTTATCGTATAAGTGCAACATGATGTAAATGAATGAAAAGCATTGCTCATTTAAAAGCTTTCTGACAGTTCTATGAGTCTTTCTTGTGGTGCCACATTCGTTATTTATAACTAAAGCCTCTATTATATATGCTAATAGCACACTTCTATACCAATCTGCTCACCCTTCTCCCTTACTGAAAAAACAAAAGGAAGCAACAGTGTAAAAGCCATGAGTCATGGTGACTTAAGGGTGTTTTTTTCAAGGAAATCACACTGCAGAAGGGACTATAACCTCTGATCTTTTCATAACTATACCCACACTAACAAAAACACTGACATGACTACATTTGCTTTTAACTGAGTAATAGTTTCCATTCATTCAGCCAGATGGCATCACCGACTTAGAAAAACGCTGGTGAAGACATTAACATTTAAAGTTCTGCAGTTACTGATTCAGGCAAGATATGAGGAGAGAATAAAACCGTTGAAATGTCAGGGAAAAGAACAACCAGCACAAGTCATAGCCTAAGTCACACTTCCCAGGCCATGTAGGGACTGGAAGGAAAATAAAATGTTAAATAAATAAACTGAGGGCTGAATGGGATCAATAAAAGACAGAGACTGTCTCATGGGCTTTCCTCTGGTGAGCTGGAAACCACACAAATAAAACCTATTGGATTTGGAGCACAACGCTAAGCAAACTTGTATAACCAATTAAACATTAAACCATCAGACATTTATGTATGCAGAACTAAAAAAAAAGGAAAAGTTTGAAGAGAAAGTGAAGCAAAGTTCCCACTGCACTCCACATCTCACTGTGGTGCTTTCACACGCCGTCCTGTCATCTGAGCCGCCTTAACATGCGAGCACCACAGGGGTCCAGACAGCCCCCATTTCAGAAACATGCTCCTCCAGCTATTGCATAAGCATAATGACCCAGTAATGGAGAGTGGCAGAGCACCTGTTTGCTGCAGACAAACTCAGATTAATGCCTATTCAAATGCAAACATAAATACTACACTGGCCTCACTGCTTGGGCTGATTTCAGCCACAGTCAAAAAAACTTTGCATTAAACCAACTCTGACTGTTCACATTTGACTTTAATTTCTCAGAAAAGTTTTCATTTTCATCCCGTTTTAAGCTGGACAATAAAGATGCCAGTTTTGAACTCAAGATTTCAGTCTTTCTTTGGTCATACCCTCATACCATACCCCAATTGTGCTGCCATCCTTTTGTATGGCAGTCATATTTTCGAAACAGCGTTATGATGGACTAAAAATCACAAAAGTATACCTTCTGCAAAAACTGTCTGAAAGCTATCCAAACGGGAGCACAGAGGTGCTTTTATTGCACCTCAAAATTTTACAGTGGTACAACTCCTGTCAGAAAAAGAGGAGTGGAAGAAAGGAGAATGAAGAGAAGGGAAAAAAAACAACAGAAAATCTTGCAATGACGATATCAGGTGTGATAAATCCTTATTTTCTTGTGCTGCCATGAGATTCCATCCAACTGGCTAAATGTTACATCAGCACAAAAAAATGCTAATTCATAACACTTATTATGTTAGCCGACTATGAACACTCCTTATAGAACATTTTACTGAACAAAAAATATAAGAGGTGGCGGGTTGCATAAGCAGAGAAAAAGAACAAAGCATTTATAAACTATGTGTCATATTCACTCATTCACATTGGTCAGATTTTTTTTTTTTTTTTTAAGAAAACAGCCTGAAGATAATTCATCTCGATTCAGTAATCATTTGAAACCTCATCTGCAGCAAAGGCTGGACAATAAATAAATAATATGTATTGCAATAGACATGTGATCAATATCAATAGACCATACGTCACATGGAAAATTAAATCATTTCACAGAACTACAATAGTAAACCACACAACATTCTGTTCAGGCAGAGGAAAGACTTTAGCCACTCAACTGTTAAAGCAAGGATGGTGGATTCAACTAACTCGCTCATCCAGTGGTTATCTAGTAACAACCTGTTGATTAATTTGTGAAGCAGCAGTTTCAGGGTTTCCCACTGTGCCTAAACTGCACAAAAACAAAACAATTGCATGGTGGAATAACTGGGAAAAAAAGGAAAGACAGTCCCACCCGTCTGGTAGCATTTCAGATTAAAAATAAAATTTAAAAAATTAATTGATAGACTGATATAATATATATATATTATATATTTTCCAGCCCAATCTGAAGTAATGCTGTGTGAGTAAGAGTAGATATGAAGCATTTATTAGGAGAATGAAACTGGGTGGTGGAAATGATAAGCCTGTGTTCTTCACCTAGACCTGACACTGAAAACTTGATGCATTCCACTCAGTACAGACTATACCGGAGCCATAACTCCTTCAACAACTGATGACACAATCACGTCTTCAATAAGTGATTCAATAGAAATCTCAGTTTTGAAATCAGTTAACAGCTCCTGGCTCATAGAATGACAAATACAAAAACAATAACAATATAGTGTTATCTCAACTACTCTGATGAATATAGCCAACAATTAGCAGTGAATAATCAATTTAAGTGAATGACAAACTATTGACACAGTCCACAGTGGAAAGGATTTGCAAGCAGTAAACATTATGCTGCAGCAACGAGGCATCACAACACCTGTCATCATCTTTCTCCTCTCCCTCGCCATCCTCCAAAGCATTTTGCCAGAGCCCACTCATGCATGAACTCAGGGCATGTGGCAGCAAAACTGTGACAGCCTGGTTCTGACACACCATACATTTGTGCTGTGATTAAATCTCTGCTGTGATTAAATCTCAGATTCTGGTTGAAGCATGTCTGACATCCCTGCATCACAATGGCAGTTGTTTGCCAACAAAGAAAGAAATATTTGGGGTAAACATATCTATATATTATGCAAAGTAATCAACGTCCATTTTGGACTAGCATCTCCTGCTTGAGTCACATGTCTGCAGTGTTGAACATCAGGATCATCATTTCTGCAGCAGGAAATAGCTCAAAAACGAACATTAAGGCTTTCTGTTTTCACCAATCTCAGTTCATTATAGTTCAAACAACCATCACCAGCACATATTTAATGTAAAGGGAGGGCATACATAGCTGTGTTATGACACAGGGGCGTGTCTGTCTACGCGCAAGCAATGCGTTACGATGACATCTACTAACGTGCCATGGCGTTAAATTCATTCATAAGAAGCACTTTCCTCAAACATAAGCGCCTGTAAACACGGAGCAGGAATGTCCCGAGCTCTGCTCAGCGCCCGGTTAGCCATCATGCTAACTTTCCTAGGCCCAACCTGGATTCACCACGTGGTTCCTCCCGCTGTTGGCGCGATACGCCGCCCAGCAGCCGGCTTCACGCCAACCACGCCTAGGCCCGTTTTTAGCTATGACAACCACGCGTGTATCATAACATGAATTCTGCCAAGCCAAGAATTAGCCAGACGCGATAATCAATAAAGGATGCCACTGACTGAAGTAAAAGCTCTTGCTCGGTACTCAGTAGCTTCTCACTGGCGAAATATTAACATGAGCGGTGGATGAGCGCTGCACATGAAAGCACCAGAATCACAAAATAATAGTGATTGTTTTCTTATTTCGCACCTAACACACACCTGCCAACGCTGCCAGCCTTTGCAGCAGCGTCCACTGTTGCAATGCTGCAGATGCGGTATCCCAGATGATGCTCAAATGAAATCCAACATTCCAGACTCCTTGTCCTGCTTTGCCCCCGCTCAGAGGGCATTGCAGTTAGCAAAACTTCAAGAATGGTACAAAAAACGATAAACACACTGAAGCTTATTTAAAATACACGTGACGTGATATATTTTATCGTGTTTTATCTTAAAATGAGAGCACAGAACAGTTTGTCTCGTGGACAGATAACAGTCAGACTGTGGTGTTTGGATTCTTCACCGTAGAAACCACACGTCTCAGATTGCTGGCACAAAAACTGCACAGTAATCAAATGGCTCCGACTATCAAATCATCACAGACTTGTTCTGGTCTGAAACTGTTCCAGATTTTTTTGCTTTAAACACAAACTGTGAGACGTATGTCCCATCACTTTCTGCCACAACTAAAATAAATATAGTACAAAGTGGTATAACAGCTAGCGATGTAGTATACGGCAGGATAGCTACGGTATAAATAACGCTAAGCACCGATGCTACTGTCAGTCTATTTCTTCGCATATGTAGTGTATAGCACAGATTATCCGTGAGTAAGGACTAGTAGTGGTAGTACGCTGTAATGCTAGCTTGCTAGTCAGCGTAGCGCCTAGCGAAGAAAGAACACCCACGTCGTCTTAGCACGCAATGCTAACTAGCGCTAGCTAATCCCTGAAAACAGCAGGAGCAGCAGTCAGCACTCCACAAAGTCCCACCACAGAGCAATGTGCCGGGAATAAAACTATGACACTGGCTTTTAACTTATCCCCAGGCAGTCAAAGTCAATATCCTGTGGTAGATATAAGAAAAACTAGATATTTTAATGAAGAATTTGGCCGAGGACCGCGGTGTTACCTTTCTCTCCTTGAGTCCGCAGAGCCGGACGGACGGAAAGCTCCCCGGAAGCCGGTAGCTACTAATTCCGGCCAAAACTAGTCACGTGAAAATGTCCCAGGCAGCAATCATTCATTCGCACTATGGATACTTTCATATCAGCAATAATCTTTCTAATAACACGTGTTAATGTGCGTAAAACCGAGAAAGTGTCATTATATGTTTACAGTTTAAACAGGTTCAATCTCCAAAGTTTTCATGGAAATTTAAAAGTAAACAAAGGACTTCAGGAAAGTGTTCAAAAATTGTATTCCAAAGATTATTTTGGGATTCAGTCTTTGCTTTGGTTGATTCGGTAACTCTTTGCGCCTTCCACCGTTTATTACAGTTTAATGCAGTTGATACAATTTTTCCTTCACTGGGATATTACAGCTTTGCATTGTGAGAGCCTCATTATAATCAAATCTGTTTTGAATAGGATGGCTTTCCACTTTTCTTTAGCCAGTTCTAGTTTTTGAGATAGAAACTATGGTTCCCATATGGATTGGCAATTATTAATCCTATTATAAAAAGCTGCATCCCAAATAAGTAAGCAGGTCAGGGACATAAAAAAAGAATAACATTGAGATAAGACAGTATTCTGACAAAAAGATAAAATAAAAATTCAGATAAAAACATTAGAAGTACTAAACTAGGGTTTCTTTTTCTTCAGTGGCTCCAATCCTCTTCCGTATCCATTGCTTGTCAGGATATCCAGCCAATGGAAAAAACAGAATTTTGTTTCTTGACATAATTCATTACAAAATTACATATTTTTGCAGTCAAATTTCAATATTTTCCCTTTCAAATTGGATAGAAGCTGGACATTTAAGTTCAAAATGCTAACTTTAAACCTGCTCTTGTCATATCTGGAGGTTCCACTGGTTTTGTGGCATTTATAGACCAAGTTTTTGCATTTTGATCAGATTTCAGAACCATGAGTCCACCGCAGCATGAATTTAAAGTTGTCTAGACCCAATAGTTAGTACAATTACATTCTTTGATTTATTAATGCTAGTGCTAAAATAAAAAAAATAAATAAGTTGAGATGGATCAAACAAAAAGCATGGAGTTCAAAAATCAATGCACTATTAAACAATATTAATACTGTTGCTGTTCTTTTTTTTGCCGTGTCTTCCAAATAGTAAATACCTTAGTCATGTTTAGTTTTTTCTTTTATTTCTCCTCTGGGATGAGTGGAATGGAATCTTGTTTTATCCTAAAAAAAATGCACAAAAATATTTGGAAAATATTTTTCCCAAATAGTTTGAATAACATAATGCATCATAACTCAAAACACACCTTATCCATTTACATAAGATACCAGTTTCAATTTTAAGCAGTGAAACTGATTAATGCAGTTTTAAGTAGTGCAACATAGAATTTTGAGAATTCAACTAAATTCAAAAACAGTTTATCCTATAGGAAAACAAAATGCCTTAAGGACTAGTAGTGGTAGTACGCTGTAGTACTACTACAGCGTACTACCAAAAAAAGTACCTCTAAAGACTTGTGGATGGTGATTCTGTCTGTGGGTAGGAAGGATCATCAGTAGCAGCCAGTCTTGAAACTCGTCTGAAAATACCCCTGACGAAAAACTGTTACTCTGTGACAGTCTCGAAATGCAAACAACTCCATATCCAGAAAGCAGAAATAATACTTAACATGACCTGGACACAACACATTGACAAGCACAGCTAATCCATCTCATTTGGTTTTTCTGCCCTTCTTTAAGTCTTTCTGGTCTCATAGTTAGAGAAATGTTTAAATTGTGAATATGATCCTGGACAATTATGACTGATGAAAGAAATGGTTTAAAAAAAGCTTATATAACAAACTACAAATTCACAGTCATTACATTTCCATTGAGCTGTTTTTATTGTTGATTTAACCTTTTACAGCACTGTAACAAAAGAAAAAACAAAAGTGATGTAGAATACATAACTTTAAATGCTCTAGTTACAAATGTTGGCCAAGATGTCTGTTGATGAAAATACCTGATGTTCAATCAGGATCGGTTATTCATGACTGAAAACTTTACAGAAGAGTGACAAACGGGTTCCATCACAATAAAATGATCCCAGATTAGTCAAAGAACTGAGTCAGCATGTGAGGAGGAGGTGGATCAAAATTAGAGCATTGTGAAAACCACTTAGGTTGAAAAGGATGAGGTTCCAATTTATCCTCCCTTTTATAGCGCTCCAACCAAACACACCCCATCCATGTTAAAGAGTGCTGGAGCTGGGCCACAGACAACAAATGGTGATAGGCTTGTTTTGAGTCCTTTCAGCAATGCAATCAACAACCAAACAACAACTGCCAATAGCCTCGAAGAACAACCCTCAGACACAAGGAAAGGCCAGAGAAAACGGGTGCAGTCTAGGTCTCATAGTTGGGGTTCTTGCGGAGGATAACAAATCCCTCCAGGATTGGCGTGACGGGGAGGTATTCCTCTGTGGCCAGCTCCGCCCTCTCTCCGTGAGCCAGCAGCACCGGTGTGGTGTGAGTCTGGAAACCTGTGATGGCCTTGGGTTTGCCTGCCTGGCCTACGACATCTACAGCCTGTGGAGGGGGAAAAAAAAAACAACAAACATGCTATTAATTTTCATTTTCTTCCATCCTCACTGTCCAAAGGTTAGAGTATATCAAGTTTAGAAGCTGGAAAAGGCTTCTGAATGAGAAGTCACAGATTTTGATACCAAAAAAATATCTTATTTTATTTAAACCAGCAGGAGAACAGCTCTGTCCATAGGAGGGATTTGTTTAGTTTCAGATTAAAATAGAAAGTACTACAAAACAGAAAGTGATATCTAGAAGCTCAATAAAAAAAAAGTAGGCAGATATTTACTCTTTTTCCCCCCGACCAGCACACATTATTCCCAAGCACCAACAACAGCACTCTTTAGTTGGATGCTGTTACTGATTTAAGATGTTAGCTATTGTTGAAATCTGAAACAATATAGCTAAAAGCAAAAAAAAAAAAAAAAAAAAAAACTATATAAAAAGAAAAGTTTTCTTTGTTTGAAATGCTATTCAGGAAAGATCAGTATTCTTCAACAGATAACAGCAAAGTTGAAAACTGGAGCTTTTGACTTGTATTGTGAAACATTCTCTAAGCCTTTTGGGAATAAAGATTCTCTGAAGGTAACAAACAAAAAGACTGCTGTATAATATATAACCACACCAATAGCTAATATAAAAGGCCAAAGACATTTTGAATTGCCAACATAAAAATCCTTTAGCCTGTTAATAAAAAACATGTTTTATGTCAACTGTTTTCTAACACATCCAGTATGATCTAAATTATGTTTCTAATGCAAATAATTAATGATTATTTGACCAATAATCATTATTTTTTTTATTAAAGTTATTATGAATAATGAATACAAAAAAAGATCAGAATTTTAATGGGAAATTGGAATTGGCTAAAAGTAGTTGTAAGAATGTCAGAAGACAAGTTCATCCTGATTGGTCCATCATTTTACAAATTCACAATTACATCATATTCCCACATTGATTAAATCTTAACATTTTACACCATAATCATAGTTTCAACTAACCATCAATATAAGTAAATTTAAATCACTACTTATGATTCACAGAAAAAAAGACTAAATAAAAATCTAAAGAACTTATGCATGATCAAGGTATTATAGAAGAGACCTGCAGCTGCCTTTTGACAAAATCTTGTTGCAAAGAAGTCTGCTTTACGTTACTGATACTGGATCAATAACACTGAACATTTGTTTTTGCCATTGCTTGCAAACAATCACATCTGAGCTAACTGCACATCTCCAGAAGGTTTCTTGTTGAAATTTTATGAGGTTTCTTCAAAACCCATACAAAAGGGTCAATAATTTAAAAGGTTAATAATTTTGTTTGCTACATTTCTGCTACTGTGCCAAACTAATACTCCACATCTTTATATTTCACAATATACTATGGTTTCTTGTATTCATACATGCATGTCTTTTCCTAATTTAGTAACACTGCAAACATTACAACAATGATGGAGTTTTATTTGCCAGGAAAGACAAAGTTGTTCATAATTTTCTAGTGGAGAGAAAGCAATACTTTGCTTTACAAGTATTTAAAAATGTAACAAACTGCCTTCAGAATTAACTACGCTGCTTTGCAAGATTAAATGTCAGTGAAACTGATTTATGCTGCCTGAAATTAAAGACCAACTAAATAAGAAGCTGTTTGATCTCCTCTGAAGATCAACTTGAACTAGCATCGTCCCTAAAATAGATTACATCCCTTTCAAAATTTTTACAATTTGAAAACATTTTTTTGGCTGGTTTACAAGAGGCTAATTATTCTTGTCTTTACCTGTCCAACTCTAACAGACACAGGCAGCGGTCGCAGCTCCTCATCGAAAGTAACCAGCATACGGGGCTGCATGGCAGCGACCAGGCCATAGAGGATGTAGTGAGACTTGCCCAGGATTACTGGAATGCACACAATGAACAACATGGGTTCATTAACACAGAAGACTGACAAAATATTGAATTTTCCACTGCCAATACAGTAACAAATGTGTGTGGAGAACCAATAGAGAAAAAATAAACTCACTGTTCTTGACGTCAAGGAAGGAAACGAGCACGGTGAGCAGTCCGGCCACGGCAACCTGACTCATCAGCTGCCTGTCACTATGGTAGGGACAGAGTGTGAGTGTGCCTTTGCCCAGGTGAGTCAGTCCCTGTGGATGCATCAACAACAAAGGTTCAATAGATATTCACACATACACAGCTTCCTCGAAGTCCACTAACGTCTGATGAAGGCTTCACGTTGTTGTGCCACACACCTGTGCCAGTCGGACCATGAAGAGATTGTTGGGATCTTTAGCATGATACTGGGCCAGCTGTCGCAACATGGCTGCCAAGCGGGCATTGTTTGTGCCTAAAGACAGAAATTAAATTCAGACTGTATGACATTTTGAAGGGACTTTATGTAAGAAAATGAAAAAGAACCAACTTGTAGCTGTATTAAGAGGTATTTTCTGTAAGACGTGTTAAGGATTAAA